CCATGATCTTGGAGTTGTGCATGTAGTTGGGGAAGTCCTCAGGTATGGGGAAGTCGCTGAAGCACATCATCTCCTTGGAGGTGTTTATGATGACAGAGCGGTAGATGCTGGCGCGGCCCTCCTCGGGATGTTCCTGCAGGAGCAGGGCATGGCCTTGTGTGGTGAGGCACCATGATGGGGACGGATGGCTGGGGCTGATGTGGTGGCTGTTTATGCGGAGCCCCTGCCCTCAGCTCGCCATCAGGACCCTGCCACAGCCAGCTGCATGCCACCCCAGCAGCAGCCACTGATCCCCCAGCTGCTGCAGTGCTGACCCACAGCAAGACATGTGGCCAGCAGGGTTTACCTCAAACCTCCAGAGCCCTCCAATGTCCCCACTCCTCTCGAAGCAGACGGGCTCCAGTGACTCCTGCAGGCAGGCTTTGATGGCGCACAGGCCGCTGCTGCCCCCTCCAATGATGGCCACCCTCTTTGCCATTCTGCCCTCCACCTCTGGTCTCTGCCTAGAGACAGTGCCGGAGAAGGGGGTTTAGAGGCACAGGTTGCAGCTGTGCAGTTTGGTCCTCTGCCCCAAAATGGTCACAAGCTTAGGGGCAGGCCCCAAAGTTTTGTCTGGGACTCTGAGTACAGCTATCCCTCTGCTCCAGTAGCAGGAACCGGGTCAATGCAGGGGTTTTTACCATTGCAGTGCTTACATCCAGACACCTGGAAGAAGTGCTATCACGAGATATGGATCCTTGAAATCTCCCCCCTCATGGCATGTCCAAGCAATGGAGGCATGCTGGAGTGCCGTGCCCTCCCACGGGGACCCATGGCTCCCACCGTGGTGGACACCTTGCCCTCCACCTTCCCCAGGGTAAATGCTGATGGTTCCATACCGGCCCATGCTGCATGCTGGCACCCACCAGCACCCCCTCCACTGACCTGCAGCTGTGGGTTCAGCAGCCCAGGGAATGCAAGCGGCTGGCAGGGAGTCAGTGAAGATCTGTGCGCAGTTGTCCCAAACTTGGATGCCTGACGCTGGCCTGGCTTTATGGTGCACGTCAGCTGTGACTGGGGCCTCCCACTTGGTCACTCCTCCCACGCAGAGCAGAGGAAGCCAGCAACCGGTTGGGCCAGACGCCTGCTTGGCTTTTCCGGCAGTGTTCCTCGCCACAGGTTCAGAGGGGAGAGCTAACCAACCATACCAGGCACCTTTCCAGGAATTGCAGCACAGGGAAACTGCAGGGACATGGGGTTACAGGCCAGGCAGAGATGCAGCAGGTCCCCATGGTGAGAATACCAAGTAAACAAATGCTGCTCTGTACTTTTAACTCTGTAATTATCAACATGTCCTGTCCATGCAGGCACCAAGGGCCAGGCTGACACAGCGCGGGGCTTACCTCAAAAAGCCAGAGACCCCCGATGTCTCTGCTCCTCTCAAAGCAGGTGGGTACCAGCCCCTCATCCAGGCAGCATTTCAGGGCACATAGGCCGGAGGCACCGGCACCAATGATGGCTACTTTCTGGGCGGCCGTTTCCTGCAGGACTGTGGTGGTGGCAGGGATGCTGGAGAGTCTTGTCCTGGGGCAAAACACACTTGGGGGTTGTGCGGAGCCTGGTGGGTCACAGCGGGGGTGCACGGTGCCACTTGGTTAGGGATGGCACTTCGGGGGCTTCCCCAGCCTGACTGAGATCAGCTGGGCTGTCATAAAACGTGCTTGCTGATATGACCTACAGGTACTCCCTGCTGCCCTGCCACACCTCCTGCCTGTGCCTGCTCGCGCAAAGGGCTCAGGAGGACCTGTGAGCGCATAACGATGCTGACGCTGCCATGGGAATTCCTGGGCTCAGGGCTGAGATGCGGCCATGCTGCGGATTTTGGCAGGTCATGGCGTTGAAAACAAAAGCTTGTGGATGCTGAGTGCCCTGATAGCCGGCAGCTGTGTGGCTCTGGCTTGTAGTGGCCAGGAACCCAATCACTGCTGCATGTCCCCAGCTACCCAGCAGTGGGGCCTGCATGCAGGAGATGAGGGTGACACTGAACTGTGCCACTGTGACTACCCTGAGTGAGGCTGTTTTGCCTCACATTTGCATGTGTGTGCACGTGTGCAGCGTGTGCTGCCATGGGCTGTGGGATGCAGCCTGTGCCTGTGGTGTGTATCTTCAGTAAACAAACAGTGGTCTGAATTTTTACCTCCTATTATCAGGATGTCCTTATATCTCACCTGGGTTCAGGTGGGATAGAGTTAATTTTCTTCTTAGTAGCTTGTGTAGTGCTGTGGTTTGCATTTTGTCTGAGAATAATGCTGATAACAAACCAATGATTTAGCTGTTTCTAAGTACTGATTACCTTTGAGGACTTCTAGTCTCTCATGCTTTGCAGGAGAGGAGATGCAAAGGAAGCCAGGAGGGAGCAGAGGGAGACACCTGACCCAGACTAGCCAAAGGGTAATCTATACGTCAGCATGTCATGCGCTGTATATAAACTTAGGGGAGTCACCCAGAAGGGACTAATTGCTGCTCAGGTCAGGCTGGGTATCAGTCAGCAGGTACTGAACAATTGTATTGTTCATTGCTTGTCTTTCTTGGATTTTCTTCCCATTTCTTTTTTCTCCCCTTTCATTTTTTTTTTTCATTTCAATTATTAAGCTGTTTTTATCTCAACCCATGGGTTTTACCTTTTTCTTATTCTCCTCCTCATCCCATGGGGTGTGAGGAGTGAACAATCAGCTGGGTAGTACTTAGTTGCTGTCTGGGTTTAAACCATGACAGAGAATCATCCCAACCATGGTACCTGGGAGCACACGTAGTTCCAGCTGTTCCATTGGCACCAGTTACCACATCGCCTATGTCCCCCTTGCCCCTGGGCTGGGCATGTTTGCACAGTGTCCCTGGAGCCATAGTTCACTCCTGAGCCATTGGAGCCACAGGTGGGGCAAGCAGGACCTGGGTGTGAGGAGCACTGTGCTTCTGGGGTGTCGCTGGTGCCAGAGTGGTGGGGCAGTTTAGGAAAAGGCTTTCCCTGGCAGCAGGAGGCACAGACCAGGTGGCTCTGGAACACACCACTGGCTCCTGGCACACTTGCAGCTGGACAGCGACTGGGGGCTGCAGGGGAAATTTGCTCTCCTGTGTCAGGGGAACTTTGCCCCAGAGCAGGGTTGTGGAGAGGCCAAGCTCCACAGCTGAAAGGTTTTTAACCTTCTAAAAGTCATAGTATGTTTGCAGTAAATAAAGCTGTAATAAAGGTGTAATAAAGCTCTTTCTGTCCCTTGCTGTTGACAAGGCTGACCTCTTGTCTGGGCAGAGGCACCAAGCTGTCAATCCACACTCTGCCTGTCTGTCAAAAAGCATCAGAAGCATTTCTTACCAGGCTGGCAGATCGGCAAGTGGATCAGCACGGGAATGGCAAGCAGGCAGCACTGGCAGTGCTTCTCTAAATGCTCCACTTGCAGCTGGCTTCTGGCTCATTCAGGCTCTGCAGGGATGGCCAAGGTGACAGGTACAGGGGACTTCCAGCTTTCAACCCCACTGCTGTGCTATGAAATCTCTGTGCAGGTTGCCTTTGAATTTGCCCTTCTTCCTTGGCAGCTATAAGAGATGGCAGAGCCTTGGACTTTGCCTCCACCTGTGTTTGGGCTCATTACCTGGCTGAACTGCACCATGAGGCACAGGTGACTGTGGGAGTGCATCATGGACAAACCATGGCATTTCAGTCAAGATCAGCTTGTTGATGTCAGCGGGAAAGCCATTGTCCCCATGCCTGGCCAGGATGTAGTGTGTGTTGGGCAGTGCACACAGACACATCTGCTCAGGGCTTCCACAATGGGCAGAGATACTATGGGACAAACTGAGCAGAAAGCACCAGTCTCTTGTCACCAGCAGTTACAAGTAATTGTCACAAGAGGAGACCAAAGGTCTAGCTGGGGAAGGTGGAAAGAAACAGAGCAGAGGTGACAGGGTGGCTGGGCAGCCCATGACAAAGTGGGGCTGTGCACTGGAGATAGCAGGTGCCACCAAGCAGCTTGTGGAGGGTCTTTCAAGTGAGCTGGGAGCAACTTCTGGCATGCACATGTACGTAGGAACAAACCACATATGCACAGAGTTGCTGCCGTATTCCTTCTGCCTGGAGAGGAAGATCCCAATGGCTCTAAGAACACTTGGACAAAAAGCACCCTGTGTTTGGGAAAAGAGTAGAGCTAGGATGTTTTGGCACAGCTCAATAACCCCGATCACCTCAAACACTGACAACATTGGTGTGTACTGCATGCCCGTGATCTGCAGCCACCAGAGAACTCATCTCTGCCTTGAGGTGGAGTGGCTGTGTGCTGCTGTGCATACTCTGGACTGGCCCAGCCTGCTGCAAGGCATGCAGTGCAACCAGGTGATTGCTGGAGTGCCAACCCACAGCTGTTAGCTCAGGGCTGGGCTCTAGGGGAACCTTGCCGTATCAAGTGCTTTCATTGCAGCCCCTATATAATTGATGGTGGGTGATGGCCAGAAATAGGATGCTTGTACCAGCGGTCCTCAGGCTGCTCCTGCACACTTCACCCAGAGAAACAGCAAGCATAAAACACTGACTGGTTTTAATATGACTTAATCCATGCTTTCCAGGCATTGAGTGTGCTAATGGACCCAAATGGCCATGATGAGCCTCACCTGGGTCAAAACCCCTCCCTCCCCATGCCACGAGACTATTTAAGTCCAGTCCAGAGCCCTCACTCTTTACCTGACTGTGGTTCTTGTTGGTGTGGATGCTGTGCTTTTTTGGCATAGTCTCATCACTGGCTTATTACAGAAGCACCTCAGGGTGCTCTTCTGCCAAAGACAAGCAGTTTTCTGTGAAATACAGGCTGCCAGGACTAATGGTGCTAGAGCAGGAGAGCCAGCCCACCAGCCAGCATGGAGAGCTGTGGTGGTGGTTGGTAGAGCCAGAGCCTCTTGCTACAGGAGGTACAGGTAAGACTTGGCTCCTGGGGCTACCCAACAGCCTGGGTGAGTGTGGGGTGATGGGGAAGGGGCTCATGCTGCAGTATGCTGGTAGCAGACTGGCAAGCAGGAACTACTGTGAATGTGCTGTACCCCTGGTAGACTAAAATCCCTGTGGAGGGGAAAAGCAGTTATGAAGTTCTGCACAAGGTCTTCAGGAGCAGTGCTGTTACAGATGCTTCCTCCATTACCTGCTGTTTTGGAGATGAAATGAATGGGCCAAACCTTTGGTTGCACCTTTTCTCTCCATGACACTGGGAGCCAGGTGCCTCTGTCCTCAGTGCTTTAAGATCTGTTTTCTGTGTAGTACTTAAATCTAGAGCAATGGAAGAGATGCACTGCTTAGGAAGGCAGAGTCCCTCAAACTTGAGGAGAGACCCTAGAGAGTGCCCTTCAGGCATATTTTATACACTGGGCTGTGCAGGGCGCACTCATAACATGATCAGTGTATTTTCAGAGAAGCCACAGCTACCACATACATTATGGGCTAATGCAGCAGGTGCCCAGCAAAAGCATGCAGATTCACTGTACCAGTTGTGAGCTGCCACATGAACGTGCTGACCCCTCCCTGGGCTCTGCAGGGACTGTTTTTTTTTTTTTTCATGGGACAACAGTCAGTGCAGCTACTTGGCCTGTGCACACCCTACCCAACAGGGCAAGACGGCACCAAAATGCAGGCCCAGGAGCCTGCAGTGCTGCTAGTGTTGAAGTCTTGGTGGGTTAGATGGGGTCCAATGTACGAGCTTAAGTCCCAATATCCCCTCCTTGTGCGTGCTTAGAAAACCAGGTGCATGTCCTTTCCTTTGGGAGGGACCCAGTCATCAGTGTCTCCAGAGTGCAAAGAGGGCAGGTGCACTGAGCGGGGACAACCAGCAGTACTCCACCACACTGTACAGCATGTAGCCCAGCAGTAGACCAAAGAGCACGTCTGTCATGTTGTGCCTGCCCAGCATGACCCTTGAAACGCTGACAATGAGAACCCAGAGCACCATGAGGACTCGCAGTGGGACGGCTAGTACCAGGTGGTGCAGAACGAAGCGGCAGACCAGGGCAGCTCTGGTGGCATGGCCTGATGGGAAGGAGTACTTGTCCACTGAGATGGTGACAAACATGTCCATCTTGTTGTGGGTGGGCCGTGGCCGCTTGACAATCCCTTTCACCACTGCCACCATCACGAGATCCAGCAGCAATGCTAGGAAACAGTAACAGTGAGTGAGCAAGGTTTTGGTTTTGTGTTTGTTCATAAGTTGTTTTTTTTTTCTCTCCATGGAAAACAAAGTAAGAATCAAAGCAAAGCCATTAGCTAAGGGGAAAGCACTTGGCTACCAAAACAAGGTAAGAGAAGGCAGTGTTTCCCATTGTTACAAAACTGAGGCAGGGAAAACATCCCAATGCTTGGCCTTCTCCAGCATGAGCATATCTTTACTCTTTCCTCTTGTTGTATGCAGCCTTGCATGCCAGACATCTGCCTGCCACAGCCAACAATAGGTCTCTGTCTGGCTTGTATCCAAGGGGCTTTTGTGTGTAAAATCTGATCTTGACAAGACTCGGGGCTCAAACCAACCCTTAACCTGAAGGCAACAGAGGAGTTAATAGACCCACAACTCCCTGACAGCCTGTGCTGAGTCAGCACTGCTTTGCTTACCCTGGTGGCTAGGGGTCAAATAAATGTTCATGAATGACCAACCCATTTCAAGCACTCAGCCACAACTCGGTGTGAGGGGCTCTGAGCTTGTGTGGTGCCAGAGCTCCTGCAGTCTAAATCTTCCCTGCTGCTGGGGGAATGATGCCAGAAAGTTGACCACACTTTGGTTTTCAATAGCTTAATAAAGGATGATTTTAAAAAATGGTGGCTTGCCCCCAGAGAGCTAAAGGCTGTTACAGTAAAAGTCTGAGGTAAAGCATCTGTGAGGAGTGTTGAGTGAGTATTTGGCAAGAGCAGCTTCTCCTGTAGGGGAGAGTGCTTTCTGCCTCCCTGTTAGCTTTGTTGGCACAGTGCTCAGAGCCAGGGGTACTTCCTCCAAGGAAGTCTTGTGAGAGAAACCAACTTCTGCTTGTCCTAAGGCTTGTTTCTGGACAACAAATCTGTTGGTCCCTTCAGTTCATTCCCTTTGGTTAATCATTTAATTTAACAATCTCCCCTCCATGTAAACCTTGTTCAGTTGCTTTTTTTTAGATATGGTTCTTAGACATGCTGAACATTAGGGAATGCTCCTTTCCCATATGAGTGCTGCAGTCCCAGGAAAGGGCCCCAGAAAAGTGGGTGGCTCTGACCAGGAGGGTTGAGGGCTGGACAAGGCCCTGGTACTGGAACAGACCTCCTTGGAGCGGATGTTATATTGGAGGCTTCCAGGTCCCTTCCCTCTGCTCTGCTTTGGGACTGTAATTTAACCATGTGCTGCTAAATGAAAAAGATACACAAAACCATGTTTCTTACCAAGCAAATTTCAATTCAAATTACAAATGTGAGATACTAATAATTTGTAGCTTAAAGAGTAAGAACTAGGAATCCGAAAAGGTCTGTTTGCTCTGGAGCTCCTAGTTTCTAAAAGAGCAAAAATGAGTAAGTACACATAGTAGGACAGGACATTGGCAGAGGGGGGAATGGGGGGTGGGGATATTACACCACACAAGATTAAAACGCATGCTTTAAATCAAGTTTCCTCACTGTCTGATACAGAACAATCCATGCAGGCACTACCTGCAGGGAGTCCAAGGGTGTAGACATCTGTGTGGCAGAGCAGCTTTTCAGGGAATGGGGTGGTGTCTCAGTACTAGGTAGCTGCACCTCGAATGGGCTCTGCTGATAAGCTGAGGAAGTAAAAGCGAGTTCAGTTCCCTGAGTGCTTTGTGCAACTGCAGGAGCAGTTTACCTGTCAGGACTTTCACTGTGTGTGGTTGCAGCTGTGACTGATGAGCCATATCCATGCCACCAGGTACCCCAGATGATCCTGCACCAGTTACTCAGTATCATCTGGATTCCTCAGGGCTACAGGACGACTGAGCTTTGCTCAGTTCTGCCCCCTCCTTCAGGTCCTATCCTCCCCCCCTCGGCTGCAGCCAGCCCCTGCCTCCAGTGCCCCTTTGTGAGTCCCCAGCCTCACCGAAGAGCAGGTTGAGCAGCACCTCTCTGGCTGCTGAACTGTCGCTTTGGCAGAGCCCGTAGAAGGTGCCAAGCAGCCAGGGGATGCCGTGCCCCGAAATCTCGATGACCTTCATGAGGGGGCGGGCGCTGCCCCAGGTCGAGCCCTCTCCGGCGCAGACGCCCAGGCGCTTGGATGCCCAAAGGTCAATGGCCAGCAGGGAGCTGAGGGCGATGCCCAGGAAGGAAGGGTTCAGCTTCATGCAGTCCTCCTCGGGCATGGGGGCTGCCGCGGAGCTGCCCGACTCCTTGCGGCGTGACGGGCTGTCGGGGGAGACGGGGCTGCGCTGGCTCACGAGGGACAGGAACTCGGGGCGGCCGCTGCTGCAGCCGGCGCGTCGCTCGCGGCTGCTCCGGGGGCTCGGCATGGCGAGAGGAGGCGGCTTGGGAGAGGGGGGAGGACCGGTCACCGGCTGCCAGGCCTGTTCTGCCAACGGGGCCCGGGCGAGGAGCTTGCCTGTCACACCTGCCCGGGCCTACGTCTCCGTCTTCCGCTACAGGCCCCGCACCCTGCTCGGCACCGTGGCCTCCCGCTACCGCACGGCCGGGGCCCAGCTGCCCCTCCCGCTGTGCCCCGGGACGCCGCACGCTACTCCCCAGTACCAGGCGGCCCCGGCACGGTCCCGCTTCCTCTTTCACCGCCCACCGTGACGCACCCTGTTGCCATGGAGACAAAGGACCCCGGGGAAGGACTGAGGCGCCCCCTGGCGGAGGGGAGGTCGCTCTTCTACGCCTTGCTACGGGGCGGGGAGGCCGTGGACTCGCCCCGCCTCCCCGCCTCGCACGTGCCCGCCCCGGCCGGCGTACGGCAGCCGGCGAGGGCTGCAAGAGCTGCGGCGGCGGCGCCTTCGCCCTGCCGGCGCCGGTGCGCGGGCGGCGATGCGAGGCGGCTGCGGGCGTGCGGCGGCGGCGGGGGGACGGGCCGCCCCCCCGGCCCCCCGGCTCGGCGGCGGCGGGTGACGACGGCTCGGCGGCGGCCATGGGGTGCCTGCAGAGCGTGGCCTGCAAGGCGCGGGTGCGTCGGGAGCAGATCGTGGTGTCGGACGTGTCGGCTACCATCGAGCCGGCGGCCACCGCCATCGAGGAGAGCTCGCCGGTGGTGCTGCGGTACCGCACGCCCTACTTCCGCGCCTCGGCCCGCGTCCTCATGCCCCCCATCGCCCGGCGGCACACCTGGGTGGTGGGCTGGATCCAGGCCTGCAACCACATGGAGTTCTACAACACCTACAGCGACCTCGGCGTGTGAGCACCGGCACCGCCACTGGCGCCACCGCAGCGCGCTGGGTTGGGGGGACGGGATCTGGCACCGGGCACGGCGCCCCGGCTACACTGGGCGGGAGTGGGGATGCAGAAGCCCCACGGTGTGCACCGGGTTGGGTATGGCATGGCCCCCCCCCCAGTACCCAGCGTGGGCAGCACCCCCGCGCACCGCCTGTTGCACCTTCACCCCATGTCTGCACCCACAGGTATGCACGGGTGTTACCTTCACCCCAGCACCTGCTCCCAGCACCATCCCTGCCCTATCAGACCGGACCTCGCAGCACCCTGGCCCTCACACACCTCTCGCCCTGCAGCTGGTTCCCGCACCAGCTGGGTGGCCTGAAGCTCACTCGTTGGAGGGTTTGGTGGCTACTGTCCCTGACAAGTGGCTGGTTTTCGTGGGGCTGTGTCATGTGTGTGGGTGTTGCCCCTGGGCTTGTTGAAAGGGGGAAGCTGTGCAGTGTTGTGCAGAAATGGCTGCTGGAAACCAACTTTTCCCAAGGCTGGGCGTGCGGGTGACTCAGGACAAAGCTGTTGGCTCTGTTATTGTGTCTTTTGCCGTTTGAAAGGGTGATGCAACATGGATCTGGAGATGGCTGTGGAGGGTCCATTCTGCAGCTTGCCCAGGGCAGCAGGCAGAGCAGTGTGTGCAGGCATTAGAGGTGCTGCTGCCCATGTCCTTGTGTTGTGGCAGATTGATTTGTGTGTGGCACTAGAGCACCTGGGGACACGGGAGATAGCAGAGGTTGTCGTTTGTCAGGGGGATGGTAGCCACTTGCAGGCGGCTCAAGATACGTCTGGAGCTGGAGCTTGGACTCAGCCGGAGGTTTCACCAGAGCTCCCTGTTTGTAATTGCCACGTGGTGATTGTCTCCCCTGCTGTAGCCCCGCAGTGTTGCTAACATGGTTGTCAGCCAAGATTTGGGCTGGAATTTCCCCCCCAGCCATACTGCAGGGATTTCACTGCACCAGCAGCAGGCATAATTGTGATATCTAATTATTGTGTGTGCCTCTGTGCAGGAGTATGTATTTACAGGCATAAAGATCACAGACTTTTATTGCAGGAAGGGGCCAGTTCTGTGGCCACAGTGCTGCAGCCGATGGATGGAGAATGGTGTTCTCCAGCCCAGGAGCTGATTAAGGAGAGGGTGACCCCAGAGAGACTCAGCAATGAGTTTTGGCCCAGTTGGTTTGATTGCAGGTTAATTAAAATAGTGTTGTGCTGGCAGAACAAAGGCTTCTGCTGGCCCTGAAGGCTCGGTGAAGGAACTGAGGCCGAATTTGTTCTTAAAGAGGCCCTTGAAAGTTAGCTGCAGGTGGGGAGACAGTCCCCATACTGTGTGTCTCCATGTTGCTTGCTGGGCACTGTTGCTGTTGTTTCCCTGCTAACCTAGCCTTTCCCTTCCTGTTCACTAGGTCAAGCTGGGAACTGCCTGACCTGCGAGAAGGAAGAGTAAAAGCCATCAGCGATTCAGATGGTGTGAGCTACCCCTGGTACGGAAACACCACAGAAACTGTGACCCTGGTCGGGCCCACTAACAAGATCTCCAGGTTCTCAGTGAGCATGAATGACAATTTCTACCCCAGCGTGACATGGGCTGTCCCTGTAAGTAACAGTAATGTGCCGCTGCTGACCAGGATTAAAAGGGACCAGAGCTTTACCACATGGCTGGTGGCCATGAACACCACCACCAAGGAAAAGATCATCTTGCAGACTATAAAGTGGAGAATGAGAGTGGACATTGAGGTTGATCCTATGCAGCTGCTGGGGCAGCGGGCACGGCTGGTGGGAAGGACTCAGCAGGAGCAGCCCCGGATCCTCAGCAGGATGGAGCCCATCCCACCAAATGCACTAGTGAAACCCAATGCCAACGATGCCCAAGTCCTCATGTGGAGACCCAAGCGAGGCCAGCCTATAGTTGTGATACCTCCCAAGTAGATCAGTGCCAGGGCGCACACGTGAGGACCTGGGAGCCTGCTGCAAATGAATGGGGTTCCTGAGCCAAAGCAGGCCTCTTGGGTTCTCCGCCTTTGTAGCTGTGGTTGGAAATGCGCCTCCTTCTTAGTCAGAAAGAGAGCCTGGCTGGCACGGGCATGTTGAAGAGGGATCACTGAGCTGGAGGATTTCCCGGGAAGCAGAATCAAGTACTTCTAGGGGCTTGCAGCTGGCAAAGAGGCTGTCTGACCTAGATGAGTCATCTTTCCTTGCAGGGCAATGCAAGGAGCATGAGTGCAATCAAACCATGCCGCTGGCAAATGTTGCTTTCCACCCAGTTGGAGGTAGAAGCGGAGACCATGTCTGCTGGACGTGGCAGGCTCCTGTGGTGAGCCTTCCTGCTGGATCATGGGTGTCCCCGTGGTGTCTATACCTATGCATTTGGATCAATAATCGAGCCCTGGTCCTGCCCACTGGGGCTGGGCAGGGGTTCCCGGAGTGGAATGGGAGCTGGCAGTGCCGGGTGCTGGGCTGGAGCCTGGTGCTGGCCAGTACCACTGCCCAGGATGGGTTTTCTATAGCTGACGGAAAGTGGGACATGTTTTGCATGTGTCTGGGTGTGTTTGGAGTAGTTGTGAGTGTAGGAGATGCCATAGCTCTTTTCTGTCTTGGAGTGAGATCTAAGGGCAGATTAGATGTCCTTTTGTTTTAAGGTGCACTAATCCTTTGCAGTTCCTCAACCCCCGTGTCCACCCCCAAATCCTGGTGACCTTTTTCTTATAGGAGCAAAATCGATTCTCAGCTGAATGAGAAATCGGGAGCAGTGCCCATTCACCCTGCCCAGGTACTGACTGTGTGGGGTGCCCAGACCAGCTTGGAGGTGACCTGGGACTCACACTCTTCCACTGCAGACCCAAGTCCTTTGCAAGAAGTTGGGTGCTTGCTCATTTTCCATACAAATGCTGGCTCATGTGGAGACTCCTCAGCCACCCATAGAGCAGGATGGCTACTGGCAGGGATGCTGATGGGGAGGATGGCGTGCCTTGCAGTAACTCCCCAGGCTCTGCAGGGATGGAGGTCTCCTTTCTATGGGTTGGAGGCAGGGATGTGAGCAGAGGCTGTGCAAGGCAGGCCTGGGTTTGCCTGGGAAGGAGGTGAGCATTCTGCCTTGGCATTGCCTCCTGCTGCTCTAGGTGCTTGGAGGGTAACAGGGTTTTATTTGTCTTTCCCATTGCCCCTCACTGCCTGGATGACCGGCATCATCTGGGGTGTTGTGGTGCTATGGGCTGTGACCTGCAACTCCCAGTACCTTGCCCTTGAGATGCAGCAGAGGCATAAACCGTGGCTGCCCTGCCTGTGCCACAGGCACCCCATTGCTCCTGGACAGATAGTTATGACTTTTCGCTGCTTTCTCTGCTCTGTCCTCTGCCCCAGCCTGAGCCCATTGGCTCCTCCAGCTCACATCCCTGCCTTCACACCATGGCAGGTTTGACCTGCCCTGGGGATGTGGATAATTCCCATTGGGAGGGTTCTATCTTCTGCCCCACTGCCAGGAGAACCTGGGGAGGGTCACTATGTTCGGCACTTCCATGCAAAGCCTTTCATGTGGTATTAATAGCACTGCCTTCAGCATTGCTTTGCTTCCTGTGGTGTGCTGGCACATCTCTGTGGCATCACTCTGCAGAGCTTTGGCCATGGCTTGTGCTTTTCCAGGGCAGGATGTGCACCCTGGTCCCTTCCAGCAAAGGAGCTCCCCAGGCATCTTAGACCAAAAATCCGTGTGAAATCCCTGTGCTATTTATTATTCTCAGTAGTGTTTGCTGCTGATTGGATTCTTACTTATTTTTCCCTCTGGGAGTATTGCATTTTGACGCCTTGACGCACAGTTTCCCATGCTGAGGCTGGTGGTCCTACTCCTCCCGCTTGGCCTCACTATGGGCTGGGAATCTGCTGCTTTTGGTGCCTACACCTGGATTTTGCTGGGGGCTGTAGCCTTGTGGTGAGAAAGGTTTGGAGGAAGAGGGGACTGAGTCTTGGTTTGCTTGTTTTCTGGAGCAAAAGTTCCACTGGGAGCTTGCCAGTGTGGGAAGATGTCCCACTCTTATGAGACTCTGCCCATGGTTTTGTTCTGATACAGGACTGATGGCAGCTTTTGCTGTCACTGACTTTTTTTTTCTCAAAAAGCATGTTTGGAGAAGGGTTAGAAACTTTAAATACGATTTTCTGTAGTCTTTGAGAAAAGAGGAGGGGTAAGTACCTTTTGGTTTGAAATAAGGCAGATGTGTACTT